ACGGAACAGCTGAGCTCTGAAGCATATGGAAGGGAGCACAGCCTCCGACTGAGCTTGATTTGGAAGGAAACAAGGAAAAAGACTTGGTAGAGAAAGGAGGATTGAATTCCAAGTGAAGGAAATCTCAGAAATTTCTCAGGTAGTCAGAATCCAAACTCATTTATTCGTCCAGCTGGGAAGACAGCAATGAGCAAGCCAGGCAAAAGAAAACAAGAGAACTTACATTCTAATGGTTGTAATGTTTACTGGAATGGTGAGGTGGGCAGGGCTGAAATTTTGGAAGGGCTGAGAGGTTCAGGTAGACCAGTGTGGCTTTCACCTGGCAGTAGGAAAGTACCTTAGATGCTCGACCAGGAAGTGCTCTGGGAATGTTAACTATGGAAGGTTTCTGTAGCCACACAAACAATGGATTCTGCTAGGGAAGGGGACAGAAAGGGCGGAGATACCAGAAAGGGCTGTTGTAGAAAAGGTGAGGGTGACTGGAACAGGGGGGCAGATAGTGCCTAGAAGAGGGTGGATCTAAGGCAGCTGGAATGAAGCAACCAAGAAAGGATCTTAAAGCCTGAGTGTGAGGAGTACTTAAATATACCACCAAGAAGAATCTCTGATGGAGAGGAAGGGAGATGGCAGAGATGGTGTGGAGACTTTGGGAATTGAGGGAATGGCAAAGGCAGATTAGGGCCAGTTCCCTGAGCTTCAGTGATTGTTCTGTCCCTGGGCTCCACAGGAAGGACCATAGCCCTGCACTGTTTGTTCGCCAGTGCTCAGCCATGTTCACTGTTTCGTGCTCTATAGACGAGCCAAGCTTAGTCCGGATGTGACCCATCAGAAATTGGAAACAATTTGAATCTAGTGAGTCACACTAGATCTACAGAGAAAAACTTTTGTTTTTGCCTGAAACCCACCACATCTGCCAACACCTCAAACCTTTTCATTAATGGAGTAAAATTGTAAGATACTACATCTTTGGTATCATGAAGCTGATATGCTGGGGTTTCTCTGTACAGCAGAATTTTGACAAAGGACAAAATTAAATAAATCTGAGCTTCACTTTAATAGGATACTAATTTTGCTTTAATAAGATGGCATGATGACTGTTTCTGTAAAAATCAAAAACTTTTATTTTTTGCCTCCGACATAGCTAATTTGGCTTGAAATCAGTCTGTCTCTACTCAAAGCTTAGGTTTCCTTCAGTCTTGTTTCTCTGTTGAATGAAGAGCTGAAGTTTCTACCTGCTCTTTCACCTTAAACAGAAAAGCCTTCTCACTTGTCACATGAAAAGAAAAAAAAAGGGAGGGGGGGAGGAAGTGATAGTCTTAAGTTCTCCAGAATAATAAGACAATTCAAAGGAAAACACAAAACTTTGCCATTAGATATTTTTGGTAAAAATGCTTCTTGAAATTTTTTCCCATTGTATGATAGAAACCACATTTCTGTGATTGTGGCAAATGAAGGGCTTCTCAGGGGAGAGACAGTCACTGTGAATTTCCTGTAGCAGAACTTGACTGCAACAGTCATGGCATATGAAAGAGCTTGGGGGTCCAAGAAGAGGGGCCAGTCGTCAAAGTGGTTCCCTTTTTATGAGCACGTCCTGGATGAATCCATCTGGACCCCCATGTCTAGAACCACTTCCTAAGAACAGTCTGGCTTCCTGCATGTGATGATGGCTTTTGAAAACTATCTGCCATAGGCCATAGGAAACATAGTATTTTAATTACTCCTCTCTGGGTAAAATGTAGTCAGTTACAAGAAAAACCAACATAGCCATTATTTTTTTGTTAATAAAACTTTTGAAAATTGTGTATGGAAAATTCCTAAACTTTCTCTCTGATCTAAGTTCTTTTTCTTATCATTTCTTTAATAAGAATATGAAGGAAGGCTTGAGCAAAAGGTTGGGAGATGTGGAAAACGATACTTTCAACTGCTTAGGGATACTAATGAGTTAGTAAATGATCTCAGTAGGAAAAAGAAGAAACAATTAGAGTCACACCCAGCTGATTCCCACCTCAGGACGTTCACAGTTGCTGCTCCCTCTTCCTGAACCTTCTTACTCCTTCCCGTAGCTGGTGTTTAGTCAGCATCGCCGTCTCAGCTCAAATGCCACCTTCTCAGAGGGGCGTTCCTGACCCTCGTTCCTCATCCTCAATTGAATCCTCCACCCCAGCTCTACTGCAAGTCACTGTATATAACATTCGCTGGTTTTAATTTCTTCTTAGCACTTATAATGACCCGAAGTCACTTTTGTACTACTTTCCTGATTGATCTATCTCGCCAACTAGATTGTGAATTCCAAAGAGTAGGGACCTTGTTGCTGTTTTTTTCATTGGATGCTAAGATTAGTGTCCGGATAGATGTGGAAGGGAAATGAGACAGCAAAATTGTCATACTTATGAAAACAGAAGAACTAAATAGGTAGACCATGTTGAACAGCTTAAGCATTCAGAATTCCACTACAGTAGAAACACTGCTGCAGTGTGCCGCCACGAGGTATTAAAGTTGTAATTGTTCATCCAAAGCGTGTGCTTCGTATGAGATGTGTTTGTCAATATCACAACTTTGGGAACCCTGAGGTAGGTAGTATTGAGGGGTCTCTTCCAGATTCCAGGGCCCTGGCATCAACCAGGACATTTCTGCCACACCAGTTGTATTATAATGTTTGGCTTCAAGGTATTAAAATCCTGACTCTAACTGAGTCTAAGCATAAGTTTTGTGGAAGGACTGGGTCAGGGCTGGTTGTTTTAGCAGCTCAAAATGCCATCAAGAACTCATTCTCTCCATCTCTGCTCTGCCATCATTTGATGTCATTTCATCCTAGCAGGACAACGTCTGAGGAAGAAGAATGCTTCCTTTCTTTTCCTAGACTTGCCCCAGCAGACTTCCTTCAGGGTCTCATGGGCCATTTTGGGGTATATACCCATTGCTGAGCCAATCACTGGTGAGGGAGTGAGATTATGCAGAGCAGTCAGGCTTGTCCCTGAGCTGGGGGTTGTATTCCATTCCCCTGACGTGTGTGGGTTGCTTGGAGTAGCAGTCATATGAACATAACTGAGGTTCTGTGGGAAGTGGAGAAGGTGGGCAGTGCTGTATACTTCATCTGTTGTTCCTTTGTTTGGAAGTAGGTAATGGTGGTGGTAAAAGTTCCCCCCAAAGTTCTATGCTGTTTTATCTGATGGGTAAGGACTGGTTCAAGATTCTAGAGGTTGACCTTGTGCACTGTTGGTGGGATTGCAAATTGGTGCAGCCACTATGGAAAATAGTATGGAGGTTCCTCAAAAAATTAAAAATAGAATTACTTTATGACCCAGCAATTCCACTTCTAGGTATTTATTGGAAGAAACCCAAAACATTAATTTGAAAAGATATGTGCACTCCCATGTTCATTGCAGCATTAATTACAATAGCCAAGATGTAGAGGCAACTTAAGTGCCCATCAATAGATGATTAGATAAAGATGTGGTACATAATACACGATGGAATATTGCTTGGCCATAAAAAGAGTGAAATCGTACCATTTGCCACAACACGGATGGACCTAGAGGGTATTATGCTAAGTGAAATAAGTCAGACAGAGACAAGACAAATACCATGTGATTTTACTTATACGTGAAATCTAATGAATAAAATAAATGAAAGAACAAAATGGAAACAGACAGATACAATGAACTGATGGATGAGAAGGGTGAAGGAATTAAGAAGTATAAATTGGTAGTTACANTGGATGACAGATCAGTTGATGGATGAGAAGGGTGAAGGAATTAAGAAGTATAAATTGGTAGTTACAAAATAGTCACAGAGATGTAAAGTACAGCATAGGGAATATAGTCAATATATTGTAGTGACTATGTATGGTGCCAGGTGGGTACCTGAAATACTGGGGGGATCACTTTGTAAATTATATAGATGACTGACCACTAAGCTGTACACCTGAAACTAACATAAAATAATATTTAATGTCAATTGTATGGAAAGAAATGATTCTAGAGGTCGATGCAGACTGGAGACCCATGCAGTTATAATCCTTTGGGTTAAGTCCACGCCCCTGCTCAAGAGTTTGAGGAAGAGCGCCCATTTCAGTGCACCGAGGCTGCTGACCAAGAGGGGAAGAGGGTGAGGAGACTCGGACTCTGTTTTCAGCTGTTTTAGTCCCATGCCCTGTCCTTAGGAACATGCTATCTATTCTGGAGATCCCATCTCAGTTCCGCATGTATCTTTATTACTTGATCCTAGCCTTCTTCCTAAAACCTAAGAAAAAAGTTTGGGGGTAGTTGGGGATTTGAGAGAGGAAGAGAGAGAGATGTCAGAGTGGAGGGAATGGGACAACCATTCTATTTCCTGTTCACCTGCACTACATGCTGTTCGTTCCAATCAAAGTACCTTTTGCCTTTTATAGAATTCTTCTGGAGCTTTTTCATGTCCCTTAACAAGGTGAGACTAAGAACAGAATAGGTAAGATAATGTGAATGATGAAATAATCAAAACCCCACAGCCCCTATACTATTACCAGTTAATATATAAATGTGTTGAAATGCAAGGGGTATGTCAAGCCAGGAAATGACCTGGGGTTGTGGGACTTAGATGTTTGATGATGTATTCTAAGTACTTTTTCACATCTTAAACATTTGGTGGTAGATTTTAAAAGTGAAGAGGGCTCTCCTTGCTTTTTGTTATTTGTTACTTGTGCCTTGATAGACTTACATGACCTACTAAACAATCTGCCAACTTGGGATTCTTCCCTCTCCTCATTCCACATCTGATTACAGAGCTAATTCTGCCCATTTTCCTTATGACAGCCACTATCTCAGTCTTGGCCCTCATCATATCACAGACAAGTCCTTTTGTGCTTGAATTATTACTCAATTACTTTGCAAGTGCTTCATGAAGATTCTTCTGTCATCTTTGATGTCTCAAGATAGCTCTCACTAGACCGTACAGAAAAAGGAGAAAAAAATCGATGTTTGCTGATTTCTTGTTGATATTTTCTGTTCTGCTTTTGGTTTTAGGTCCTGGACTGAAGAGATTTTGTTCCAAAAATATACTGGTCATTGTTGGCTTCTCCTGTGTCATGGCTGTGATTGCTTTGATTGCTGTGGGGCTGACCCAGAACAAAGCATTGTCAAAAAATATTAAGGTAACTCAAATCTGTGTGTGTGTGTGTGTGTGTGTGTGTGTTTATGAGGGGCTCTGGGCAGGGTGAAAAGGTATATGACAGCATACAGGAAGAGATGAGGTTCTGGTAGCCCCAGAGCAAGCCACTTATTGGATTAGGAAAGTAAAATGGAAATGCATGCTCATCTGGAAGAGGGAATGCTATGAATAAATTGACGATGGAAAGATAACTGTCTTTATGATTGTTCGGCAAATTAGTTAAATAAATAACAGAAACAAAGACTTAATTCACCACACCCATATCTGTTTTATACTGTGCTGATATTCTACTGTCTAGTGCTATCTCTACTTCTTACTCATTGTTTCATTGTGGATGTGACACAACACTGTACCCTTTGTTCTTCTTACTCCATCAATATCACTGTCACCAAAATAATTGGAAAGCTCTGTATAAAGCACTTTGGAAGTCAAAGATCGTGGAGAAGACTTGTTTTTCATCTCCAAAATATCAAAGAACAGAGCAAAATAAAGTTTTTAAAAAAACCCAGAAAAACAAGTATCAGATATAGTAATTTCAAATGAATTGATGGATAGACAAATTTCTTGTGAAATTCCTACATTTGAAGAACTAGTTAATGTCATTAAAAATAATTAGGGTCATTAACTCTGCTGCAATTTATTTCTCCTTTTCAAATTCATCAAAGTTAAATTTCAAAAACATGAATATCTCACAAGTACCTTGCAATATGGTCAATATTTTGTTTAATCCATTAATTAGAAAGCATGTGGTAAATATAAATTTTCATTGTAAATACACCATTTTAATCTTTCATTGAAATTACAGTAAGTAAATCTATAAGGATATACCCAGAATATACTGATATTCTAATGAACATGTATGTTCATGTGGGTGGTGACACATCCAGAAATTAATTTGACCATGGAGGCCTTGGAATACATGTACAGAAATATGTTTTCTTGTGTTTGAAGATATTAAACTGTGAGCCTGGGAATATGGATGTATATGCCAGGCTGCTGAGACTTTTGCCACCTACCCAAATCACTTGCTGTAGAGCAGAGGCCTGCATGTTAGGTTGGCATCTGTTTGCCACACAAATTCAACTCAACTGGGACTGTGCACAGCAGCTCCTTTGTCAGCACAGAAGTCTGATACTATCTCATTGGCCATGGTCTCTTGCCTTTTAATGTTGAATGATCTTGGCTCTCTTGGCAAAACTTCACTCACAGTTGAAGCCTCATGGCATCTCAGTTCTGTTTTTTGTTTACCAGTTCCAAAAGTACATGATTGCCTTCTTGATTTGACCTTTTTACATGTTCTTTATTGCATCATTGTAGAGGGTTACTGCCTAGGAGGCAAAATCCATGACAGACTTGAGCTCTGTGTTCCTAATGAATACTTGTCATGGATGACCTTCTCTCATTCTCAGTGGTCATCTTAAAGTCTGTTATGATTCATGTTGTTGTGTTGGCCTGGCAAAATGGGGAAAGGTCTTTGGCATTCTTTGAATAAAATGTATAAGTATTTGAAGAGCTGACACTGGCATCTGAAGTGAATCTTTATAGCAATATAACTGGTTTATTTTGCTCAAAGATAATTTTATATATGCAAACTAGCCATTTGTTGATGTTATACAGTAATTTTAATAAGATTCCTGGCATATATTGAGGGCAAAAATATTTTAGGAACTTGTCTTTAGTGATCTCTTTAAGCCATGTATGCTTGTCTAATTTGATAGCCACATGGAGCTCTTTTAATCCAAGTTAATTAAAATGAAATCAGATGAAAAATTTTGTTCTTCATTTGCACTAGCCACATTTCCAGTGCTCAACAGCCTCATGTGGCTGGTGACTACTGAACTAGACAACACAGACACAACATTCCCATTGTCGCAGGAAGTTCTATTGGACATTGCCGCTTTAGAACACTCTCTTTGATAGTATCTCTGAAATCATTCAAAACTAAGTTGGATGAAGAAGGTGCATGATAAACATGTTTAAAACCTAAAATTAGGAACAATAAATGAGACTGTTTCCTTGTGTCATTGGTAGATTAATACCATATATCATGAGCTACTAAATTGTTTTGAGTAGTTTTTTGGAATAAATGCATTTCCTTGCAAAAATGATGAATTAATGATAACACATTTAGATAGTTGTACCAGGTATATTTGTTTTAAAACACATCATCTCTTTAGCATCTCTTGATTCATTTGTTCACAAATTTATATATCAATAATTATTATTTAAATATTGAAGTATCTATGTCAGGCACTGGCTACATAATTGGGAAGCCAATAGAGCTACAACTGAGTTTACCATCTGGGAAAGGAAACACATTTAATAGATGACACAAATTATTAATTACAATTGTGATGAGTGCCACCAAATGAAAGTTTTGGGGACGAGGGAAATCTTCCCTGAAAAAAAATGACATTAATAATATCTGAAGGATGATTAGAAGTTAGCTGGGAAAGAAACCGGTAAAGAGCGTTCTAGGAAGAAAGAAAGCAAGCGCAAGAATCTCACAGCAGGAGAGTTGGATACCTACCAGAATTTAGTTGGAGAGCAAGAGTGGGTCATGTGTTGGATAAAGACGGTGAGGGAGGAGGTGTGGGCAGGGCCTTGCAAGTCAGGTTGAGTCTTTTAGTTTTAATCCTAAACCAATGGGAAGTCAATGACATGATCAGATTTGTGTTTTGAAAAGATCATTCTGGCTGCAGTGAATTAGGGGGAGGCCAAAGATCCTGGTTCCCCATTCTCACAGAACCTCCTCAGTTTCAACCTCCAGGTTGCAGAGTCTGGGAACTGACACTTTTGACAGGTATCCTCAGGCCATTAAAGTCTAGGGACCACTGTCCTGTAGCTAGCAGTGACCACTTAAAAAACAACATAGCCGTAATGAAGAATCATTAGCTGTACCACAGTGTCCCCTGAGAGAGTGCTTTTGTCCTGGTGAACCTGGGTGGGGAGGTAGCTTTGAGGTCTGCTTGGTTCACCACTTCCTTAAGTGCCTGCTCATCACAGAATCCTGGCAGTTAGCAAGTTGCCAGACATTCCTTTTAGCACAAACATTCCATACTCTGCCACACACGGAGTGCCGCAGGCTTCTCTCAGAGGCACCAGAAGGACCCAATACCAAACCACACGCCTTCATTAAAAGCTGCTCACTTCTATGGAATGCGGGCTCAGGGACCAGAGGGCTTTGATTTCAGTCCCAGATCTGCTGCTTTCTAGCTATGAGACTTTGGGCAAGAAAATTCCTCTCTCTATACCTCAGTTTCCTGTGTGTAAAACGGAGATAGTACCTACTTTGAGGATGGCTGTGAGAAACAGTACCTGTGACTCACTTATCAGAGTGCCCAGCACATCAGAGGCCTTCGGGGGAGAGCAGCTGTCCACACTGCTTTGAGGGAGATGAGCTCTAGGCAAGGCCCTTACCTGTTAGTGTGTGATGGTCACTGAGTCAGCAGCCCCAGATGGCCAACTGCTGCTAAAGGGCGGTGGCCTGACCCCATGCATCTGCTTTTTTCACAAGTAGCTAAGGTACTATTCTTAATAGATATTTGTGGTTTTACCTTTTTTTGGAAAATTTGGAAGGATTTGCTCCAATTTCAATCTCAGATACTCCTGGAGAACATTATTTTCACTCCCCTGGATTTAATGTCTCACTTGAGAAACACCACCTGGAGATGGGGGTGGTGATGGCTTCACAACAATGTGAATGCACCTAATGCCACAGAAGTGTACACCTGTATGCTTTGAGTAGTTAAAACAGTACATTTTATGGTGTATTTTCCTACAATTAAAAAAATTTAAAAAGCCCTGGCTGAGTGGCTAAGTTGGCTGAGCATTGTCCTGTGCACTGAAAGGCTGCGGGTTCGAGTCCCAGTCAGGGCACATGCCCAGGTTTGGTTGGATCCCCCATCGGGGTGCATACAGGAGGCAGCCGATCGATTCTCTTTCTCTCTCTCTCTCCGCCTCCTCTAAAATCAGTAAAAACATATCCTGGGGTGAGAATCAAAAAGCAAAACAAAAGTGTGGTTTGTAGAGAAGGTCCAGTAGCTCCAGTTAAGGACAGAAGAGAGGAAGCAAACTCTGGTCTCTCCTCGCTCACAGGCCCGCCAGCACCGCTGCAGCTTGGGGACACCTGGTTTGTTTTATAGCGTCCTAGAGTCGCAGTCAAAAGGAGCAGTTTTGTTTCTTCAAAAAGACTCACTGGGACAGACTGATGAGGTTTCTGAAGTAACCATTAAAGCTACAGGAACTTTTAACAAAGATTCAGAAGAACCAATTTTGTCTGAAGGGATCAAGGGTAGTTAGTTACCACACTGTTGTCTGTGTTACCTGGCTTATGGTTTTTGGGGGTTTGTTTTAGTCTCACCCGAGGATATCTTTGATTTTAGAGGGGCGGGGGTGGGAGAGGGAGAGAGAGAAACATCCATGTGAAAGAGAAACACTGACAGGTTGCCTTCCACACGTGCCCCGGTTGGGGATCGAGCCCGAAACCGAGGTATGTGCCCTGACTGAGAATTGAACCCGAAACCGTCTTGATGTGTGGGACTTTGCTCCAGCCAACTGAGCCACCTGGCTGAGGCTGGCTTATGGGTTTTTTGGGAGTGGTGGTGGAACTCAACCCTAATGGCACTACTTTTTGTTAGACTGTGAATATTAACTTCTTTCAGGACTGAAGAAATTTAGGAGCCCTGCAGTTCTAACCCCCTTCAATCATTCATTTGATTCAACCGTTTTTGTTGAACTCCTCCTTTGTGCCCACAGAGAGGAGCATATACCGTGTGGGGGCTGCATATACCATGGTAAGCGAAGCAGACCCACCCTAATGCAGCTTCCAGCCTGCAGGGAAGACGGCATTAATCAAATAGCCACATGAGTATGTAATTAGGGTAAGCTCTGGCTTCCGAGGAAAACTACAGGCACTCTGAGACATGGATTCGGAGGGTGGAATCTAATCTGAGAAGGTCAGAGAAGGTGGGGATTTCAGGG